TATTTTTTGCACCAACAAGGTGATTTTCACAGATCTATAGGTGAAAACCTGACATATCGCAGCATAGTGTGTCCTTAAAAATTTTAAAATGAGAAAACTGCTCAAGTGGAGGACAAAAGGAGTGGAACTAAACTATAGATTAACAGTATCTGAAAGTCATGTCCTTAAAAACTAAAGAAGTCTGAACTCTTATGCAAGCAGTCCTCTGAAGCGTAGAAGTGGTCATACCAAATATTTACCTTAACGCTTGTTATAATTGTGCAAACTCTGATTTGCCTTGCATATTGTAACCCTGTATGTTTGCACGTTTGAATAAACCTGTTTCCAGGTTTCTTAGCAATATATAAAGAAATGAGGTGACTCAAGACTTTTGCACAGGACTGTATTTCAATTGTTAATCCAAACTTAACAGTTATAACTCTAGCTCTAATTTTAGCCAGTGAGTTTATCACTTTTTGATCATTCAGCTTGTCCATTATTGCTGATTAAGTAACTTTTCTTGTGAAACCAGTTGTGGTCCACGTAGGTCTTTAATTAACTGTACTTCTGTGTTTTCTGATAAGTTGAGCTAATTCCAATTTACCCGCCGGGTCCTGCAAAGGTAGCCCAGGCTGAAAAAACACTGATTATAGAACACAAGAGAATAAATCAAGAAAGCAACGAGCCAGCTGCAGCTCCTGAGCTCAACACATGCTTTGAACCTTTTGCACTTTCAGACTATCGGGACTTAAGGAATGCAACAAAATCCTTTTGGTGTTACAGTTAAGGAAGCGCTGGATTCTTTTATTTGTCAAATTTATAGTCTCTCCCAGTGCAAGTGATGGCCTCATTACTCTGGTATAACACACACAAGAGACAGATGTTGCAGTTGTTGCCACAATTAGACCACACAATCAGTACTGTGCTCTGCTCACACTGCATCAGGGATTGTTGGAACACACTTTTGTGACAAACACAGCTTGCATTAAACAATTGACCCCATTTTTTCCCTCTCTGGAGAGGCCTTTTAAATGGGCTACACTAATAATATTCTGATACATTATATGAAAAGTAACATTATATACAGTAAATGAATAAAAGCTCACCTTACTCATAGAACATGCCCCACTTATGACATAAAATATATGGAAAGAGGGTCAGTCTCTAAACAAATTAAGAGACGCTGAAATGCAGAAAGAAATCTGACGCAGACCCAGAAACATTGCAGCGACGGTCGTTCTGTGCCACTCATCATCCAAAACTAACCTCTGTCATTTAAAAAGGAAAAAAAAAAAATGCAACATCTTTACAACTTCTAAGAGATGCAGTAAATCGTGCTTTTATGGGTAATGTGCCCATTAAAGAGTAAAAGCAATCTAAGACGTCAAGACAAATGACAGCTTTTGAGTGCCATCTGCAATCTCGAGCTTCACAAACTCAATTATTCATAATGCATTTATGAAGTCCGCTGAGACTGCGCTGTCATTCCCATTCAAACTAGCGGGGAAATGCAACATAAAGGGACAAGCTCTTTGAGATGACAATGGCCTGTTCGATGGCTCTGGTGTGTTTATGGTGCCACCTGCTGGGAGACAGCCATTTCACTGGGTTTCCTTTACAGGGTGTCAAATAAACTAAACAGGCAAAAACAAAACACACACAAACACACTTTTCTGTAATTACAACTGGAAAGCTTTTATTTATCAAAAGCAAAATCATTTCTCTGGTGGGCAAAGACAAACCTCCATATCAATATGATATAAATCATCAGTCTGTGATCCATCTGAATCTCTAGAATTTGTCAGTACTAGTTAGCGCAGAATGCTCCAAAAAACCCTGCATTGTTGCCCGGGATCAATGTAAGAGTGAAAATCAGAGCGGCTGGGGGTTAACCAGGATGACATTCTCGCCACGGATGAACAGCTGGTTGATGTGGCGCGTATGGACCTTGCCGTACGTCTTGGTTTCTTTCTTCTGGCGAGCCTGTGGACTTTGGACCACGAGCAGTGTTTTGTGTGCATCCTTTTTGGTTTCAGCAGCTCCTGACAGCTCTGAGTCTGCTGTCCTGCTGTCTCCTCTCACACCAACGGCATGAGAAGAAGAACGACTTTCTGGAGTCTCTTTGGGAGAATCTGCAGGCTGCTTCTTCACCGACTCAGCACATTCAGAGGTTTCCTGGAGACTTAGCTTCTCAAAAAGCTGCAGATACAAAGATTTGATCATTCTTAAGATTTTCATCCAACTGAACCACATAAAAGCGCTCCGTGTGCTCTATATGTATATGTAAAAAGACCTTTACAATTTAAGCCAGCAATACTACTGTCAGCTCGCTTGCAAGCATTTAATCAGCAAAGCACAGATAGCTGTTATTATGAAGTAGTCATTAGAAACTAAATGTTTCTAGCTTTCCTTAGAAAATCGAAGGACAAAATTTTACTCATGTGTGTGTATATATATATATACATACACATATAGAATGAAAACTCATCCATTACCCGTGTAGTGGTGAGGGCTTTCTCATGATAGAAAGCCTCTCCAAACAGAGGCTCTCTGTACGTTTCATCCACATCCACCATCGCCTGACAGCGAGAGATAACCAACGATTAAGATACGAAATTTGCGTAGTTCAAGAATGCCACATGAGATCACTGACCATGTTCCAGAACTTGTCGAAGGCCACGACAAAGCCAGAGCACACTCCCCTCAGACCTTTGAAAGTCCTGACGTGAACTTTGACTCTTATCCTCTCCTCCACGCAGCGGTACAGCTCCCCCAGAGGACTGCCTTTACACACTGAAAACACAAGACAAGCAGGTCGCACAGCTGCTTCTGCCTATTATGATAAATGATACAGGGAATTCAGCTAAAACTGATGCTTCTTTAAAGTAACAAGTAATGCTAAAATTACGAATAATATATATATATATATATATATACAGTGGGGCAAAAAAGTATTTAGTCAGCCACCGATTGTGCAAGTTCCCCCACTTAAAATGATGACAGAGGTCAG